CTCTCAGCATCTCTAATAAGGCTCTGAGGGACACTCATCCCTTGATTTTGCTTCAAACTCTCATGTTTCAAAACAGTTTCCTACCTGTGTATTTCATGCACCCTTTCATGTGGTATTTTGCTTTAGGACATGCTTTTTTCCCTATAAATTTATCTTGACTCTGTTTTCCCCACTGAGAATTCACTTGTTCTCATGCCTAAAGATATCTTTCTCTACCTCCTTAGTTTGTGGGTTTTCATGGCTGTTTCCAGATAAAATGAAGTATGGTAGTACAGTGTCCCAGGATTTTCCCTTTTTTAGACTGGAAAGGCTAGCAACAACAAAAACATTTTGGCATGTTCAAACAAAATTTTGAGTAAAGCAAATAATTCAAAAAAACACCTGTACATAATTTTATTCTATCAGAACTAAGTTGCAGAAAGGCACAAATGTCCTTGTCTGTATTATTCTCTATGAAAATAATTAACTTAGAAGTGGATTCACTGTGGGTTGAGTTTGTGTCATTGTTATTGCTTACTACTTCCCCTCTCTGAGCATTCTGACCTTTGCTATTATTTCTTTAGAAATACTTCCAGGATAGACAGTGTCAATAGTATCCAATGCCATCTGGCATACATGGCTTCTGGACATCACTGAGCAGGTTCTTGATAAATCCCTTCAGCATCCCTGCCATTTTAATCTGTCCTGCACACATGGAGTGGCTGGATCTAGGAACTGGCTCAGGAATAATGAAATGGAGCTAGAGAATTTCTGTGCCATGGAAAGGAGAATGCAAAGCTGTGGCGAATCCAAAGTCTTAAAGAAATTTTCATTCTTCTTTGCACTGAAGTAAGAGGGAATGTGGCAGAGCTGTAGGAAGAGAATCAAACAGAAGCAATTTAAGAATCACTGCCAAACCAAGGGATTGAGTTCTGCTTAAGAGAAGAGTTAAATGCCCCCAAGGGCATGGCAATAAAACACAAGAGGGATTTTTGTTGTCCCTTATCTCTAGAAAACATTTGATTTGAAATGTGGTACCATAGTCAAGACATATCAGGATTAGGCTAAATGGAGAACCTTTGCCAACCTCTGCATCTCCACATGAGTGCAGTGTAAAGGTGGCTGGGCTGGTGAAGGGAGAGGGAAGAGTGGGATGAACAAGCACAGTTGCCAGAGCACCCACCTGCTGCGCAGGCTCTGTGGCTGCAGTTTGCTGCAGCTGCTCCCTGGGCTACCACAGGCAATGGTGCAGCAGCTGAGGTCAGTAAACCTGGAATCTGGGCCGTGATGAAGACCGTGGAAGAGACAATCACCCTCATTTTTAACCTCAGTCCATTCAGCAACCATTCAGACTTCTCAAGCAGAAACAACTTGAGCAGACTTGAGCAGTATTCATGTGACAAATACTATTCTTGGTTGTGTGTCATGTGCCATATGTATGAACTCCTTTGAGCTCCCCTACAGCAAAGGATGTAGAAGAGATGACAGTCCCAGAGTGTCCTTCCAAGCCTGCAACTGAGGCCAGCATATCATCTTATATGTACAGTGGGTCCACAGAATACAGACCCACCAGGTATTTGCTCTCAGCAAATGAACACACCTATCACTTATAAACAGAATAAAATCTCTTGACCTTATTTACAGTTCCCTGTTTCTTTTTGTCCCTTAAGATGTTTCTGGGAAAATGATTTAATTAACCACCCTGTTTGGGCATGTAAATCTTTTTCCTTATTAAAGCAAATGAAAATATATTCTTTTTGTTTCCAATATCATATTTTTGGCCATACACAATTATTATACAATGTTTTACCTGCTTAATATTTACTAAAACATAAAAATTCTAGATTTCTGTCTCTATGCTAGGAATATTAATAATATCAAGAGTTATTCTGAATCACGAATGTTAATGGCATAGCCATTAACTACTAACTCCAAGAACTAGCAGTACCTCAACTCTCAGTGACACAAGAAGCTGGACATTTGATAGATGTGATGTGGGACAACAAAGCCAGAAAACCAGGACATAAGTTCTTTCTCCTTTTTTCTCTATGTAATGCTTGGGCAGCTCACTGAACCTCAGTTTTCCCTCCAGAATGGGAGAATAGCATTGGCTTCCTATTTTATAAACTAGTTGTGAAGATTAGAAAAGATACAGTGAATTAAAGTGTCATATAACTCTGAGATGTTACTTTTGGTTGAAAAATACCTGATCCACCCACCTGACTTGCAAGATACTATTTACAAATAGGTATATATCCATGCATAAATAAACACATGCATATTTGGAAGGAAAGAGGGTTTATAGTTTTCTTCAATGCCTCAAAAAGTTTAATTAACTAAAATAAGTTAGTAACCTCTAAACTAGAGACATATCTGTTAGTGATACACACATGTATAGGTACACTCAATAGGTGATCTAAGAGTCTGAGATTCAAAATGCACACACTTGTTATTCAATAAGAATGTATTAGGTGTCCAATTATGTGCACAATACAAGCTTATTTTGCTAACAGGTATCCTTTTTCACTTACCATTTGATTGCTGAGAAAATTTTTTTCTCATAGAAAAAATGGTGTATTTATTTTATATAAATATTTATTTAAAACAATGTCTCAAAGAAGAGACATTTCACCAAAGAAAACATTTCATAGTTAATAAACATATTACATGGTATTCTACATCACCTGTCATTAGACAAACACAACCCCAATGACAAATTAAACCCAAATGAGATACCACTGTGCATCGACTGCTACCAAAAATACAACCATTACTAAAAATTGGGGAGGTATGGAGAATCTGGAAAATTAATACGGTGCTGGTGGGAAGGTTCAGTGGGTGCAGCTACTCTAGATAATAGCTTGACAGTTCCTTATAAAGTTGAAAATAAACTTAATATGACCCCAGTTTTCCAATCTTAGCAATCTACTAAGAGATATGAAAATATGTCAAAGACATGTACACAAATATTCATAGCAGTTTTGATCAAAATAACTCACCTGTAATCTCAAGAATGGAAGGCTGAGGCAGGAGGATGGCTGTGAGTTTGAAGCCATCCTGGGATGTAGTGAGGCCAGCCTGAACTACATAGTGAAACTGTATCTCAAAAACCATAAGTAAATAAATTAATAAATGCCCCAAAGAGGGGAGGGCCACCAACTTGTGCATGTATAAACAAAATGTGGCATATCAATACACTAGAATAAAAAATAATGAAGTACTGATAAGTGCTACAAAATTGAAGAAACTTGAAAGCAGTACACTAAAAGTGAAAGAAACCAGTCATAAAAGACCATGTATCCCCCCGCCCCCCACTCCTCTGTACAGCCACCTGGTTCCACACTACAAAGAGGTAGAGGACACCAGACCACGGGGTACTGAGTCCCGCCACTCCCAGCCCAGAGGTAGGGGCTTCTGAGCCACCGTCCCACCGCTCCTGTACCAGAGGAAGGGGCTTCCGGGCCTCCAAACGTCCCACCACTCCTAGCCCAGAGGAAGGGGCTATCGGGCCACCATCCCTACCACTGCTCCTGGCCCCTGTCCCACCTCTCCCAGCTCAGAAGAGGTAATCCTTGCAGGCGCCAACAGCACCCCACCCGCCAGTTGAAATGAGAAAACACATAAATAAGTCTCAAAACCAGACTACCAGATCACCTACAGCAATCAAAGGGAAATGAGATGGAACACTCTGATACTCAACCACCTGGACCCACTGAACTGGCAACAAAAGGAGATCTGGAAAAAATAAAATCAGAAATAATTTCTCAGATAACAGGAGAAATTGTGCTCCTAGTGCAAGCCATGATTAATAAATCTAGAGAGGAGCTGATGAACATGATGGAATCCCAACATAGGAAACAAACGGAATCCATAAAACAGATGCAAAAAGATTTCCAGGAGATGAAAAACTCCATTGAAAGTCTACACAGCAGAATGAGCCAATGTGAGGACAGAATTTCAGATATAGAAGATAAGATTGCAATTAATGACCAGGAAAAGAAAAATTGCTTCAAAATTATAAGGGAACAGGAGAAATCAATCCAGCAGCTGCTAGGTGATGCAAAGAAGAATAACATAAGACTGATTGGAGTCAATGAAGAAACAGGAGAGAGTGAAGATGACATAAAAAGACTACATATCTTATGAAACCATTAAATGTCCAGAAATGGCAAATACGTAAGGCAGAAAACGGATCTCTGGTTCTCTGTGCTAAAGGCCAAACAATACAATTGACTCAAATGGGCAAGAAGGAAATTTGGGGATAATGGAAAAGTTCTAAAACTGGATTATGGCAATGGTTTCTATAAACTTACTAAAACTCACTGAGTTGTACATGTTCAGTGCATTACTTTCTGTTATGTAAATTATATTTTAGTGTCTTTTTAGAACAGACATGAATCATGGACAAAATGAAGAAAAAATTGTTTAAAAAACCATATAAAAATATTTACCTCAAAGGTGACTCTAATTTTACAAGCATATTACAGTAAGTTAAAGTGCTGTTCTTTAGTCTCTCCATGCTATGATTTCCTACTGTGAGAAAATAAGAATACTTACCTCATGAGTATCCCTTAATAGATGTGAAGGATTTAGGAGAGGGCTTGACACACAAAAAACAAGAAATACATGATGAATGTAGGTAATAACTAAAGATACTATATCACTAACCACCATGTATATTTTGTGATCATTTCTTTTGATGTTCTTTTTTTCAGATGGGAAAAATGAGCATTAATAATCAATGATACTTTAAAAAATAATTAGTGATACTTTCCCAAGTTGGCATAAATGAAACATATAATAATAGAGGCTATTCAAAAGTGATGTGGAAAAATATCACAGGTGGAAAATTTGTAGTTCCATGGAATATGTAAAGGAGAATCTAATCTACAAAACCTTCTTGGTTTTATTGTCACATTGGAACCAAAAAAAAATCATTTAAATCCTTTTTCTTCTCTTATTTTCTCCTTTATCTGCTTAGTTACAGAACCAGTACTGAATAGCTTCCTTATCAATTGCAGGATGAAGGAAAATTACCACCTCTAGAAGCAATAAAATTAGAAGGTGCCGAAGTTTCTGTCGATAGGAGCTTGGGAAAACCATTTGTGTTTAACTGTATCCCTCAGTCTGGAAATAGAATTTTTTGCCTATGTGCAACCTCAAACCAAGAAATGAAAAGGTAATTCATTAATCTTTTACTTTACCAGTTTCACTTTGATAATTCATTAATCTTTTACCTCACCAGTTTTATTTTGAGTGGGCAAATACTTCTTTAGCAGCAGCCTTACAGATTCTTGGGATTAGAAGCAGAAAAGAGAATGACAAATTTGTGGCATGAGTCAATAAATTGTTTTTTTCTTAGGTACTAGAGGTTTAGTTCTTCATTATTCCTTCAGTGTTTTTCTAAATGAATTTCAAAAAATATATATAAGCATATTCTGCTAACTCAAATGCTTTATTTCCATATTTTCCAAAAATGCTTAACACTGCCATAGTATACATCTAGCATCCTCTTGCCAGATTTATATATTTTGGGCTAATTTGACAGGTAGTCTATAGTATAAAATATTGTAGCAAGGTTTCAACTTAATACACTATAGTGAGGGGGTGAGGCAGAAAGAAAGGAAGAAGGAAGGGAGGGAAGGAGGGAAGGTAGAAAGAAAGAAAGAGAAGGAAGGAAGGAAGGAAGGAGAGAAAGAAAGAAAGAAAGAAAGAAAGAAAGAAAGAAAGAAAGAAAGAAAGAAAGAAAGAAAGAAAGAAAGA